TGAAAAAATGCTCAACATCTCTAGCTGTCAGAGAAATGCAAATCAAAACCACCCTAAGATACCATCTCACTCCAGTAAGATTGGCAGCCATTAGGAAGTCAAACAACAACAAGTGCTGGCGAGGATGTGGGGAAAAGGGTACACTTGTACATTGCTGGTGGGACTGCAAATTGGTGCAGCCAATTTGGAAAGCAGTATGGAGATTTCTTGGAAAGCTGGGAATGGAGCCACCATTTGACCCAGCTATTCCCCTTCTTGGTCTATTCCCTAAAGACCTAAAAAGAGCATGCTACAGGGACACTGCTACATCGATGTTCATAGCAGCACAATTCACAATAGCAAGACTGTGGAACCAACCTAGATGCCCTTCAATAGACGAATGGATAAAAAAAATGTGGCATTTATACACAATGGAGTATTACTCTGTATTAAAAAATGACAAAATCATAGAATTTGCAGGGAAATGGATGGCATTAGAGCAGATTATGCTAAGTGAAGCTAGCCAATCCCTAAAAAACAAATGCCAAATGTCTTCTTTGATATAAGGAGAGTAACTAAGAACAGAGTAGGGACGAAGAGCATGAGAAGAAGATTAACATTTAACAGGGATGGGAGGTGGGAGGGAAAGGGAGAGAGAAGGGAAATTGCTTGGAAATGGAAGGAGACCTTCAGGGTTATACAGTGGAGGGGATAGAGAGAGAGGAGGGGAGGGGAGGGGAGAGGTGGGGAGGGGGGATGGTGGAGGATGGGAAAGGCAGCGGAGCACAACAGACACTAGTATGGCAATATGTAAATCAATGCATGTGTAACTGATGTGATTCTGCAATCTGTGTATGGGGTGAAGGTGGGAGTTCATAACCCACTTGAATCAAAGTGTGGAATATGATATGTCAAGAAATTTGTAATGTTTTGAACAATCAACAATAAAAAATTTAAAAAAAAGAATAGCAAAAGGCCCTGAAGAATAAAAAATTAAAAAAAAAATTTAAAAGGAAAAAAAATGTTGTTTCAGGAGAAGTACATAGTCTTATAGGGAGATGAGATATAAGAAACTATAAAGTAGAAAGTGATGATTGATCAAATAGTAAAATATCCCTAAAGAAGTCAGAGGAGGAAGAATATGCCTGTGGTTGAGAGAATCAGGAGAAATCAGTGACCTTTCAATCAGGTAGAAAAGGAAGAACAGAACTAGGAGAATGGTCGAGGATGGATTGGAGGAAGGAGGGAGGGAAGTGAGGAAACAACCAAGAAAGGACTTCAAGAAGCGATATGCAGATCTGAAATTTGGCAGTGTTGAGTATGCAACACTACATGCCCCGCACACGCCATTTTGGTTAATGTGTGGGTCACTCAGATGGCAAATTTCCATGGAGGAAAGCATTTCTTACAAATGCATTTCTTCCAAATAGCATTTGGCATCACTTTGTGCAAGTGCCTCTTTCTTGAAAACTTCTTTTCAGTTCAATTAATTAGTATGATTTATCCAAGATTACACTTGCATACTATAAAGTATTCCAATCTTCCCATTGTTAATTATATCTCCAGGCTAATATAAATAAAAATTTCTAGTTACTATAATCCATTCCTTGGGAATTATCAGATAGATGACATTTAGAACTTGCATTTTGGAGAAAGATTCTCATGTTTAATGTGGTGTTTTCTTTCCCATATTAAAAATATTTGTTCCTATTTCCTTTTCTGTTGTTGTTGTTGTTGTTTCCTATGAAGTTGAAGACTATAGTCCCAAAATTATGAATTATAAACTACATTAGAGATATAACTTCATTAATAAACAAAATGCCCTATATGGCTTTATTATAAAAAAAGAAATGTCACTCTCTATACAGAAAAGGAGTTTGGTAAAATTCAATCACATTAATTCTATTTGTGCATCTTATAGAGAAACAGTGAGATGTAGACATAAGACGTATTTGGATTAATTTAAAAAGTGAGGAAAATGTGGCAAAATACTTCAAGCTTCAACTTACATGTCTTCAAAGTAACAATTACTATTGTACTTTCTACTAATTATAATCAATATAAAAATATTACTTTTAATATTGATTTTTGCTTACATAGCCTAATCACCAGAAAATCCAAGATGAGAATCATGGAATCATTTCCCATTTCCAGAAAACCCAGTACGAGCTAATGATTTAATCAAAATGCATGCATTCCGAGAGCTCTCCAAAGCAATTTTAATGCTGATTTGTGCAAGAGGCATATCAGAAGACATATTTATTGAATGACATTTACCTATTTACAAGAAAATAACAAATAGCTTTATCATTGTGATCATTACTACTATCACCCAAGAGCAGTATACAAATAGTTTTCTGTAAAAAGCGATTTGGACAGGATGATACTCAAGGTTGGATCTTGATGTTCTTTTAGGAAAAGCCCAACAAATACTTCCGGAAAATTGTATCCTTCATATTTAACTGGTATATGAGGATGCACAGTCTGACACAACCAAATGGCAACTGTTTTGTAAAACATGGAAACTAGATTAAGAAAAATTTGGCAGAGAATGTTCTTTAGCAAAATGAAAAATATTTTCATACCATAAAGCCCTCTCAACTACCACATGTAGTCATACATCTGTCAGAATCATATTCAGGACTAAAAATTTGCCATAATAAAATCAACAGAATTTCAGTCTTCTGGTCCTCCTGGAAAATAACTATGTCATTTTCTATGGGACAGGGACAAATGCAGGAAGTTACTGCTCTAGAGATGCATATGCATATTGTTATTAAAGCATTTATAAGGGTTACACATTCTTTGTTTTTTGCTTATATTGGTACTTAGTGAGTCTTTGCTTAAAATTATTTATGTAATTCAAAATAGAGTTATTGGTTTTAAGTGTGATTTGTTTTGCAGAAATACAGTGTTTGCAATACAAATAATATATTTTTATTGCTTCAAGTTTACTATAATTTGATGGAAGATAACACTAATAAAATGGAAAAAGATGGTTCTCAATCTCTGATGGCCTGGGCATTGCAGACTTCTTCCAAGTATAAATTTACTCTTTAGTAATACATTAATTGCTTGCTTTTATCGTCAATATTTTGGATGGGAAATTGTTGAACCATATTTCTAGGCCTCCACAACTCAGTTCAATGGAATATTTTAGTTTGACTCCACCTTTGACACTGTGATATACATATCAACTGACATGAATAAAGTCCAAATTGACAAAGGTCAGAAAGAACAAACTGTAGACATTATTTAAGTCCACACTCAAGTCTACCCTCTGCTGTGAAACCCCAGACTTTTAATCATGGCATTCCCTCTCCCATAACCTAGAACATTAGCTTTGCAAGTTGTAGTATTTATAACATAAAGCATATAATCTACTTTGCAAACAGGAGGCTTTGTCAGGGATATTCTTTTAATACAGCAGAAGGAAATGCGTTTTTGGAAATGCTTTTCGCGTTTTGATAAAGTGCTTTAAAACAAGACGATTTGAAAGTTAAGAAGCAAAACTTTGTCCTAAGGACCAATTAATTCCACCATGGCTGCTATAATATAGATAAGACACTAGCAGGTATGATCTGATATAATGCAAATGCTGCATTTCATTGTCATTCTTACATCAAGGGATGAAAGAAGAAAATGTGAGGGGCTAAAAAACAAGGGAGAGTTCTTGAAGGACAAAGATTAAATACATTGTTTTTAAAGTGAAGGCAGAAGTGGACTTAGATATAGAAATACAGAAAAATGTAATTCTTGGAGCCAGTCACCAAAATCACAGTCCTGAAGAAATGATCTCACAAAATTAAATGCAATTTAATATAAAGCACTACGAAGTTTCAAAAACTAGAGGAGAATCACCAAATATAGGAAATGAAAAAAGTTCCTTTGAACAACAAGACAGTTAGTCAATGAAAAAAACCAAACAAACCTGCATCTGAAATCTAAAGAATCATCATCATCACAGCCCTTAGCTAATGATGTCCCAGAATAATAATTTAATATGTGGGAAATGTCCTTCCTGTAGAAAGAACTGCTTCTCTTGGTTATGAGAGCTCAAGTGCATAGAACATAAGGACTCCCAGTTTTAGATGTTGAATAAGGAATGGTAGCTAGGAGTGACAAGGTACACTGCGGTACTCACGGTCATTGCAGAGTGGCCCACTGAAGGAAGTCATGCTACAGTCACAGCTGAAGCCATCCCACTGCTGTAAGCAGACACCTTGATTGGAACACGAGTCCTCTTGGCAGGTTGTGCTGGGCCCTGTGAAACATTCCAAAGGAAACTCGGGTTTTTAAAAACAATCTAAAATATTTTACACGTGAGCTAGATCACATAGAGTAGTTGCCAACACCTCAAATTACATGTCCAAACCAGTTGTGAAAGTTCTAGCTCACACACCTGAATTAGGAGCTGAGAAGCTGTAACATGAAGGTTTTCTTAAGTTTCAAGTATATGACAAAATACATGATAGTAATAAACTTAACCAACAAATAGTAAAAGCAAGTGCATAGCTTCCAATATGATCATGGTAGCAGGTAATCTCACTCCATCATCAATAACTCTCTGTCACCATTTGGATTTTTAGAAAATGAATGGATCTCCTTAACTTCAGACCAATGAAATAGAAGCACCATGAAAAATGGAGATTATAACTTCATGAAATTGAGATAAAGATTGGCAAAATAACCAAAGAGAGTTATACAGAAATGCCCTAAAAGTTCCAGATGTTTCCCTGCACAAACTATGGATAAAGTTATGATTGCTGGGTGTTTTGGATAGGTATGTTGGCAAGTATCAATTCACATGCTTTAACGATCTCATGCAATTAAACAGAAAATGAAAAACTCCAGATAGATGGCATGCCCCCATTGAACATACAAGTCAAAAGAATGCTAGTCTGGTTCTAAAGAATCATAACTAGAACACTGGAAAACAGAGAACTAAAGAAGTATGATTGAAGCACTAAAGGCAATCACTATACAAACAAGTTCAAGACTGAAAGCCTTATGCAAACTCTGCTGCAAAAGGAGGTTTCAAGAAGGGAAAAAAAATGAAATTGGAACCCAAATAACAGTTACAGCAAAAATGTAAAAAACAGTTATTTTAGGTTTTCCACTGTGTAGTATGGGGTTTCAGTCTTGTTGAATACACACAGGGCTATCTACCTTGCAAGTCAGCTTTCATCAATGCAACTTTGTCAGCAAAATAAAAAAAAAAAGCAAAATATAGTAAATGTTAGTAAGCAATACTGAAATGGGGCAAACACAGAAGAACGTTCAGATTCAAAAGAGCATGCTGCTGTCAAGGGGAGAAAATGCTATGTACAGCAAACAAATTAAATTTAACAGCCATAAATCTTAAGAGAAGCCAAAATGAGAAAGCGGTAACGTATTAGAACTGTACTGTACATATGTGCGTATATGTATGTGTGTGTGTACATAATGGTTGATTGAGCCAATGATATGTAATAAAGGAAAATTAAAAGGGTTATTATAACTTTTCCTCTCTTGAGTAAATATGAATGCTTTACCAAATAGACTGTGTTGCTTTTTTGGAACATGCAAGTACCATTTTTCTTGTGTAATACAATGTGGACTGCAGTCATTAACAGACCAATTATTCCTTTCTATGTTTCCCTCCCTGGGTCTTTTATATTTTTCTTGCAATTAAAGCTTAAAACTGTCATACCAGTTATTCACTGCCAACAGTTGGACTTTATTATAACGCCAAACTACCAAAATGCATGTATCTTTTGAAATGGATAAAAGTAGTGAGGATGGAAGAAACAAACTGTAAGATAACTCTCCTTAGAACAAATTCCTTTGTAAGATTTCAGTATGGAATATTCATCTTTCCTCTTTCCAGTTAGGTGTACACTACTCAAGGACTTCAGAGTTATGTTCATATGAACTACACCTTCACAATGGTCTTCAGCCCTAACAAACTGCCTGATGAATGATTATTACAGTAAAGATTCACATAAAAGGGATAGCTTTGGGTAGGAAGGGAATGCAATCCAACTAAATAGTTTCCAAGTGTAAATTAAAGATATTTTCTAATAAACAAGATTTTTAGGTTTTCTGAAAATATAAAAATAGATGCCAGCCTAATTGGATGCTACTAATAGTGACAGGCTTTAAGGTACTTACTTTACTGATTAAAACTGAATTGCCTCTGTAAATTGATGTTGTAAAATGGGTTTTAAACATAACCCTTACAATCACATTTCTATGGGAACTTTCTCAATAAAGGTACTCTTCATAGGAAATGACTGGATTTAGCCTTACCTAGGTGAATTTTCACAAATTCAGAAACCATGATATTATAAATTCTGATTATATGATGATATTAACAATAATAATAACAATAATAATAGTTTTTAGAAGTAGCAATAATAATAATAATCTCTTAGGTGCAGGGAGCCTGAATAGATGTAACCGTTACTCAACTTTGTGTCAAAGTACTAAGCATTACTGAATTGCTCAGTTTTTATGGTTGTTCCAACCTATGAGAGGTAAGTGGCCTACAGATCTTTAAGACTGAGAATAATCAGCGTTTTTTTTTTTTTTTTTAAATAAAGTCTCTCAAAGCAACCCTCTTTGGTACACTCCTTCCTAAGATGAGGGCAGCAGTCCTCACACAGGCCTGATGCTACCTGATCAGATAGTTATTTGCTCCCAGCCTACACAGCTGAAGGACAGACAGGAGCAAGAACTGATGAACAACTAGAGTCTTGCTGTTTTTTGTTTTTTTCCAAAAAGCATCAGCAATGCAACTGTGAAACAATGCTAAACTCTAAAAATAGTAAAACTGCAACCCTAGAAATTAATCTGCCCACATTGTAGAAATGCAACTCAGAATACCTGCCAAACCTTGGTGAGCACAAACCCATCCTTTATTTTTATTATTGTTTTCATTATCACAACAGTCTTTTTATATTCAGGTATTATAAGAGAATGCATGCCTATGCCTGACAAGACACATTTCTCAAAGTACTCACCTTCTAGAATAATACTTAAATACTGACAGGCATTTGCACAAGACAGAGCCTTGAATTTATTTTCCACTTTAGTTACATAATGTTTCTTTTATTTTACCACTGACTAAAATTGGGAACAAGCCAAAGGACATTTGTATTAAGTGATTTAAAAAAATATGTCTGAAAAGGAGAGAAAAATAAAGGAAAAAATTATAATACATGGAAATCAAAGGAACAATAGGGGATGATCATTAGATGCCTGGGCTTTCAAGGAAGGTAAATTGAGTTTGAAATACCTGTCATTAGGCATCTAACCTTAGGGTTGTCACTCTACCTCTCTGAGGCTCAATCTACTCATTTAAAAAAAAAGGCAATAACACCTGACTTATAGCCTTTTGAGGATTTAAATAAGAGAGCATATGTAAACATATTAGCACCATTGCTTAATAAATAGACAAGTATTTCTGTCACTTATCAAGTAGTCTAGGACTGAATGTTGTGGGTCTACAAAAAGATGATGAAATTTTTCACCAACTTTTTGTACAGAAGTTATCTTGACTTTAGTGAACCTGATTATTGCCCTCTAATTTTTGTTAAATAAGCAGGAACATGCCGTCCAAAGCAGTAATTGTCAAAGTGTGGGTGCTATAACATCACCATCACTTGGGCACTTCTTAGACTTAAATTCTAGGGCTCCCTACCAGGCACCCTGGTTCTGGTCTCTGAGAATGTGGATTTTAACAAGGTTCCAAGTGATTCTGATATAAGCTAAAGTTGGAGAAACATTAAAGAGACTTTGACAGGGTAAGGTTTTACCCCTAGCTGATATGCATTTTATTTTTTAAAAAAAATAACTATTGCCCACTGAAATAAGTTAGAAATGAAAGGTATCAAGTGATTTTTAAGGAAAGGCCAAGAATTTTTTTGCATGCCAGGAGCTTAGAGATTTGTGGGTCTCATTGGGTAGGAATGATGAAAAATGTTGACAAGTTGTTATTTGATTGCTATACTATTTCTATTATTATGGAAATTGATTCCAATGTGATTTGAATTCATGCTGCATGAGATAACTGTCTTTCAGGAGATAATTTATGGGTATCTACAATTTAATTGCTACTCCCCAAAACACCTGACTCTCATCAGGTCTACTTAGGACAAATACATAAATACTTAAAGTTGTTAACCTAGATATTGGAAAGCAAGAATCAGGGAAGTTTCAGGGTAGAAGAGAAGGGGCATGTGATAGTCTAAGAGTAAAGAGAAAGGGTGTGAAAAGGGGTGAACATTATTAAGGCTCAGACATGTAAAGCCTATGGAAAGAACCAATATTGTTCTCAACTGAATGAATTAAAATGTATAGATGGTAATTTAAATCCACCAAGACATTGTGGAATTAATCATCCTAACCAAATTGCTTACTAGATCAGGTTGGAGAACAACACCAAGTTCATTACTGCAACTACCCTGTGTAGAACTTCTTACTTCCCTAATCTTCTCTTGTACCCACTCATGAACATCAGCTGTCAGTGGCTGTGTCTGTCTATCCTTACCATTTCTTGTAGATGAGGAAGCACTTACAAAGCAACTTGTATAGAGCCTTTTTTTTCTTTCTTTTGTGATGCTGGGGACAGAACCCAGGGCCTTACGCATGGGAGGCAAGCACTCTACCTACTGAGCTATATTCCCAGCCCCAAAAGCCTATTTTTGAAAAATATTTTCCAAAAACTACACAGGACCTTTTTCTTTAAAGTAGATCAATATATAATTTCTCACTAATTAAGTCACCTCCAAGAACTAAAGTCATGTCCACATCCTTGTCTCCATCTGCTTGAAGTAATTATTCCACTTAACAATTTTGTTGCCTCTATTGAATTGGTACAAAGAGAAAACACATATTTTCTTTTTGTTTTACAAAAGTGTTCTGTCAAAATTTGAAATTAAGAAAATAAATATGGTGATAATATTAAAAGTGAATTCAAATCAGACACAGGTGTGTGTATCTGCAATCCTAGCTCCTCAAGAGGCTGAGGCAGGATCCCAAATTCTAGACCAACCTCAGCAACTTAGGAGAACCTGTTTGTAAATAAAAAACAAAGAGGGCTGAGGATGTAGTTCAGTGGTAGAGTGCCCCTGGGTTAAATCTCTGTTACCACCAAATTTGATTCTCCTTTATTTTTTCATCACAGTTTGAATTTCACCTAACTTTTAAGAGAAACAGATGCTTCAGAAAGGAAAAAAAAAAAAAAAAAAATATATATATATATATATATATATATATATATATATGTTTTCAAATAAAAACTTTCCAGGTACTTAGGTAATTACTAAATATAATGACATTATTTTGGTCAAGAATTAATGATTCATCATCTTCCAGGGGATAGGAATTCACATTTGCTTCTTCTTCTTCTCTCCTAGGAAATCTCCTTGTGGATCAAACATTCTCAAAATGGATCAAACTCTGCTCAACATTAAAAGAGAGCAGCAACACATCCACAGCCAAACAATTCATGATGATATTACACTACATGGATGGAGAAGAATTGGCTCAAATAATCTGAAGTGTTGATGTGAAAATTATCTAAAATGAAAGCAACAATCAAAAAATACTCCTACAGATGTTGATCTGATAGCACAAAAGAATAGAGGATAGTTGAGTGCATTTCTGAAGTGTGAAATATGAGCCTTGGGTAATATAAAAAAAACTATTTTTTTTTTTTTTTGCCAAACAGATAATACATTGGATACACTCTTATTTCCAGGTACACACATATCAAACAGTGATTTGAGAATGGGGTATCTGAACTTTATGGTTATTTCATAGTCCATTTTTCAAAGTGGGCTCAAATTGATTAATACTGGAGTAAATATATTTTTCTAGTTTAAATGGGGTATCTAGTTTAAATGGGGTAAGCTATAAAATGTGCATAGCAGAACTGATTAACATGCTAATTAGGTGAACTATAGAATGCAAAGGAATGGAAAATAGCAATAGTCAGTGCATTGATCTACTGAGAGAAATTAACTGGGTGTGTCCAGAGAAGGTGGGTTGCTGGTGGAGTGCCCTTGGGGTTTATATTTTATCTATGGTTTATTTTCTCTCTCTCTCTCTCTCTCTCTCTCTCTCTCTCTCTCTCTCTCTCTCTCTCTCTCTCTCTCTCTCCTTCCTGGTTCCATGTCTTGTTCTGCTTTCTCCCTCTACACCTTTCCACCATCATGATCTACCTCATCTCAGGCAAAGCAATGTAATTGGCCACAAGTGAACAGAGACCTCTGAAATCTTGAGCCCCAAATAAACTTTTCCTCTTCTTTGTTGCTCTTGTCAGGGCTTTGGGGGCACAGCAACAAAAAAGTTGATTAAAATGCATGGATAAGAATTTCTAAGTTCTAAGAGGGAGTTCTACCAGTTAGCAGAATTTTGCTGGCTAGTGAGATTCATTCTCATTTAAAGGTGGAATTAGAATAATGTCAAGGGTAATGAAAAAGATCTAGTACCTTCACATCCTCTCTCAATCTGTCCATTGCAGAAAAGAGCATCTGAGATGAGGTCCGGAAGCCGTCCATTTAAATCAACCGATGCCAGGCAGCCTTGAAAGCCTTCCTTGGCATGGACGAGTTTTGGCAAGGATTTGTATGTTTCTTTAGCCACTCCTCCTATATACAAGTCACCTGTGGGAAGATCAAAGTCTTTGTCACAAAAGTTACATATTATTGACATTAAGCATACAGTAGCAGGAAGAAAAAGTAGTGAGACTTATTTTTGTTAAAGTAATAAAACATAAATTTATGACTCATTATTTTCCTAAGAGTGTGAAACAACAGAAATATTTGAATAATAGATTAGAACTAGAAGAAATTTCTTTATTTCCAGGAGAATTAAACAAGTTCAACATGGGAAGTGGATAGAACACAGGCCATAGGGATACATGTCCCAGCACTGAAATGCAAACCAGTTACTTACCAAAACCTTGAGCAGATTCTATGATCATTAGTATCTTCATTTTCAAACTGAGAACAATAAAATCTATTCTGAAGGGTGGCTATGAGTATTAAATAGGAGAACACATAGGAAGTACCCATCGGAATGAAAAAATATAACAGACACTCTTGTAAAACTCTTCTTATTAAATTAACGTCTGCTTAGAAAACCTTGGGTCTTTCAGTGAATCAGAAGCTCAAGTTTTTTTCTAGTAGCCAACACACCTTCTGTACTGTTCCTAATCCTGTTGTCCTGAATTGTATATCCTGTTTATTAAGCAACTCTCATAATAGTTCATGTATAAGTGAATATTAGGTCTTTCATCAGGTGTTTCCTTTTTTTAAAGTTAGATAATACAACTTTGGGCTCTTTATGCTGCTCTGGAATTTGTGAACCTGTTATCCATTTATTTTTGCAATTTTCCTGCATTTTGTAATGGAACATTTTTCTCAGCTCTGTCATCTTTAGATTCCCCAATTTCAGGGGCTACTACTTTAAAAAGGGAGTGCAATCTATGTTTGATTCTGTCTCTTTTCCGTTAGCGATTACCCACCATTTTCAGGTGGCATTCAGTAAATGTAATTAAGTGACTCTGGTAAACTCCAAATCATGGCAGAACCTAAGTAGTATGACCTCAGAATTCCATAATACACTGCTCCTCCCTACAAATTCTGTTAACAAAACATTCTCTTTTCAGCTACTTCTCTAGCTTTTCATTGCAATTTGAATTTCCTCTCTTAAATTAAGCATTCTCTCCAATTTCAGGGCACTTGTCATATTTTTCCCAGTTGTAGCAGAAAAGCCCTGCTATGTTCAACTAGACCCCTCTGTTTTGTCTTCATGAGATATGGGAACAAGAAGAACTGTTATGCTGCCATTTGTTACAGTATGAGTAACAGAGACCTTGGTCCCCAACCCGGAAATCTCATGACTTCTGCCAGTATCTTTGGAACAAGAATAAGCTGACTTATTAACCCGTGAGCAGGATAAAATCTGACCATAGATCCAACACTCCTGAACTGTATTGATGAGTACATTGAAACAGAGAGATCCTCTGTTGTTCTGAGTGCCACTTACCCTTAGACACTGGGAAATTTGTCTCTGTAACTTACTAACTAAAGCTATATTTCACTAGGATGTCATTGATCCTGTATAATTTGTACTGAGCATAGTCGAGTGTTTACTTCCCTTACCTCCTACCTCTTAAATAAAATAAAGATTTATTGACTTCCAACCATTTTCCTTAATACTAAAGGATAGTGTGTTTTGGGTCTAAGATAGGATACTATTTTTGAAATATTATTTGATTTTTACCCCCAAATTTCCGTTCTCTCCTTTGTCTTTCCTCTCACTTCAATTTTAAGCCACTGTGTTTTAGTTGCCTCAGAAAGGATGTGAGTCATAAATCAAAGACACAAAATTAGCTTTCTGCATTTGAATCTTAAAAGCCTAGACTCTTCTAGGAATGAAATAGAATATGTAGGCATTTATATGAGGAAAGTATGGCTTTCCTGCACCCTATTTGGGAAAGGAGGAGATAAAGTTGGAGGAACGTAGTCAAGTTGAAATAGGAATTTGGGATACAGAAAAATAAATAAATAATACTGAATTTAAAAAAAAAAAAAAAAAAGAGTGCCCAGGAAACACTGGAATGCAGAAAACACCCATAATTCATTGAAATGCAAAATGAACAACTCTGGAGCAACCCAGCCCACACCTTTGCACATATATCCTTGCCACAGAAAGCAGCATGATGAGAGGGCAAGGGCAGCCCCAAGAAAACTGGAGAGAACCTGAGTAACTCTAACCTGACTCCATCTCTAGTTCAGCCCCTAATACTATCCCTCTATAATATCATAATGCCAGGCCAGAGCATGGCTTCTTACTCTCTCTCTCTCTTTCCTTTTGAATGTATAATCATTACTTTCCTCAGTAATTCTCCATTTGCACTTCTATCCGATGCAGGTCCTTAAATTCCTTTCTGATATTTTTGTCAAGAACCCCACTTGTCCTGAGTTGAGGTCCCTTTCTCAGGGAAATCTTAGGACTCTTCTCCCATGACAAAGTGTGCATAAATATTTGAGGAAAGTAGGCTTTGGGCAAGCAGAAGATTAAGTGTGCATAATCATTTGGTCAAGACCAAAAATAGAGCATGATTTTACAGTTTAAGGGCTGAGCCCTGGTGGATGTCAAATCTCAGGTAGGTTTAAGGGAATAATGTAGATCTGTGAGAATTTCCCTGGGGGGAACCTAGTACAGCAGTAAGATCCCCCTAGAAGAAATGGCTGTATGGTGTGTTTAGACATGCTAGGGGCTAGACAGCTTTCCATTCTACACTGTAATGTGGGAACAATGGAACCATTTTCAAGTGGTCAGAAAATTGCAGAAAAGGTCTGACCCAAAGAGGTCACACACACAAGAACAAAGAGTCCTGGTAGTAAATCAGGGGGGACCTACCTGAGTTGAGTCTAGAATATTTGAGACCAGTTTCCATGCTACTTCTCTCTTCCTCTCAAAAGTACAATGGAAATTCTGCCCCTTCCCTAAATAATTTAGGTTTAACTCCAGGGAAAGAAGGAGACTGAAATTTCCTGAGATTATATTTTCACTAACTCAAAAGAATCAGAGCTCAAAATAGAAGCCAAGGTGAGTTATAGAAAAATCAAGTTACCTTTCTTACACATCAGAGAATGTGGGCTGAGAATTTTACTTTTACATGTCAAATATCAATGCAAGGATATGCTTGCTCCCTGTGTCTATGTGTTGAACTAAAGTGGTTAGGAAATTTTAACTCTGCTCCTGACCTAATGCCTGTCATAATAAAGAATGGTGGGAATTGAATAAAGTTCTTGTCTCTGCTTTGGGCCTTAGAGGTGAAGAACTTCAGAAAAGTTATTCATGCAATGATTTTGACAACTAAATCTTCCTCTTTCTGATTGCAACTTCCTGGAGAAGACAGACTAAGTCTTAATTTGTTTTCGATTCTCCCATGGTGCCAGGTACCTGGCTCTAAACAGTTGAGTACCCAGTAAGAGTTTTCAGTCATCCAATGGATTGAGTACAAAAAAAAAAAAAAAAATCAAGAAACAAAAGGGAAAGGAGAAGGTACCACTTAAAGACAGAGCTAATGTTAAAATGCACTTCCTTCCTTCCTCTCCCCACTTCTTACCACAACACATATTTTTTTTCTATTAGCAAACTTATTTGCCTGATAACTTTTTAGAGCTCAGTGAAGAGAAGTAGTAATTTTTCCCCTGTGTTACTAAAGAGCAAAAAATATCAATTCAAGCAGCGCAGCATGCAAGCCTCAAACATATCAAGGTGGATGTGTTTGGCTTTGTAAGTAGGGACTTAACGCTCATTTTCATTACTGAAGCTGCACTTAGCACCACCACTTAGTACAGTCCTCATAAACCCTTCACATAGCAGATAGTGGTCTAAAGTCCCATGGTGGGATGCCATACAAAGAGAACAAAGGAGACTCTTAAGTGGTCTCAGTCCTGTGTACCATTACCACCTCATCAAAGTTGCAGCTTCTCCTTTTGATCCTTGGAGTGATTGGAAAAAAAAAAAAAGACCCATTAGCACTAATGGTTCCTTGTAGGTGAAGTCCTGCGCACATGAAGGAGGATGTAATTCTTAATAACCCCTGTAGGAACCAGAGCCTGGATGGACATTTATTAAAAGTCAAGTTTTCTGTAGAGTTGAAGGCAGTCTGTTACCTACTTTTCAAGCTAAGTAACTAATTTTATTCTTATCCTTTAAGTAGGCAATACATACAATTGATAAGGCAAAGGTGGAGTTGGGGCATTTTGGGTAAAGGATGAAGAAAATGTGTCTCAAGCTTCCAACCACAAATATTCTGGAAATAGATTTGTTGAAGAAATGTTAGTAATAGGGGGCTGGTCAGTAGAGAGCGCCTGACTAGCATCCCCGAGGCACTGAGTAGATCCCCAGCACAAAAAAAAAAAAAAAAAAAAAAAAAAAGAGGGAGGGAGGAATGAAGGAATGAATCTCAATGATAACTTCATGTCTAGCATCATATACATACATAAGCACTGTGCTCCTCTCAAAAGTGTTATCTGCAAATGATCAGAGATGATATCAGAAGTATCTCTTCTCTAGTAGTTGGGCAGAAATGAGTAAGAAATAGTATACAAATAGTTTTAGTTCTATCTGGCTACAAACGTTGGCCCTGCCACTTCCTTTTGCTAGAGTTAGATTCTTTATCTGTGAAATGGAGTTAATAATGCCCACATCATGAGGTCATGAGGATTACAGAAAATGTATGTAAATCATTTAATATACAGTATGTAGTCAGCACGTGATTGACCCTGGGACAGCAGTGTTGGTTTGTCTGGTAAGAATTACATATTCTATGTTGGTTTGTCTGGTGAGAACTACTTATTCTATGTTGATTGCACTGAGAAATACAGAAGAATGAGTAGTCCAGTTTGTCCTCTTGTTTCTAATACAATGGATTGACAAGATGTCAAATTTACAAGTCTGTCATGACATTTATTTGATAAGATTTAATTCACAGTCTTTTATGTGCTTGAAATGTGTCTTGCACCAGACTGTCAGTAGCTCAAAGGGTTCCTTTGACATATGCAATCTGAAACTCAGTGGCATTGAACTTGGTGACCGAAATTGAAAAGTTACTTGATAAAAATGTCTTCTAATTTGATAA